GTCAGATCAAAGCCAAATCAGGTTTGCACACGACTTAGGGGGTCCTCTAACGAACCCAAGCATTTAGAACAGTTGCTGAATCTTCGTTAATTTATTGTGAATTTTATCTTCCCCCATAGGAAACAATGGAGCTGTCAGATTTTGACAGCTGTCAAAAGTTGGGGGGGAAAATTCACCATAAATTAACGAAAAGTCAGATCAAAGCCAAATTAACTTTTGCATCCGTTTTAGAGGGTGCAGAAGCTAATCCAAGCATTTAAAACCATTTTTGACCCTTTTATGACACACTTAAATTTGCAAAAATTGACTTCGCAAAGCCATTGAAATGTATTGATTTTGATCCCGATCGGCTCAGGTAGCTGAGTCAGCCTTCCATTCTTCCAAGATCAGTAATTAAGTACCCAGATCACAGGGGGTGGGGGCAGTGTGTCACCTTCATAATTAAATTGTAAGTGACAAGAGAGTGCCTTGAGTTCTGTGGGGTGGTACATAAGCAGAGCGCGCGCACAAAGAGAGAGAGACTTTCAGTTTTAGTTCCTTTCTTCTCAGTGGAACGCTCATTTTCTGTCTCCTAACTCACTTCTTTCCAAATTCCTTAAAAAAGACAACCTTTTTACTCTTTTTTGAATTTCTTTTTCTATTAATCTGTCCTTCCTCCGGGATGTCAGACCAGGATGATAGGCTGTTGTTTTCAGTGAAGTCTCTGACTCCCACTAAACCTGCAGTGGCCAAGTCCAAGGCAGAACTGTGACTGGAGAAATTCCATAAGTGCAGCACTTATGTGCATGTAATTATCCCACAATGTATGCAAAAGAAGATCTAACAAATGTCCAAGTTGATTCTATTGAACTTGCCCGCTTCCGGTTTAAAAAGGTTTTATTATCATAATATTTTAATTTGATTAAATTTTACTTATTTACACGTAGGTTATTTTACAGGAGCCATGGTAACAGATTTTTGGGTTTTTGTCCCATTTCTGTCAGCACATAGTTATATTGCTAGCAGATACAGTGGTGCCTCGCTTAGCAATTGCCTCGTTTAATGATGTATTCGCTTACCGATGGGTTTTTTTGAGCAATTTTGCGCTCCGTTTAGAGATGTTTCCTAATGGGGAAATTTCGCATAGCGATGTTCGGGACCTTGCCTCGCTTAGCGATGACAGTTTAGGTCCCCGTTTCACTTAATGATGTCCGTTTTTGCAATTTTAAGTGTGTCTTACAATGTTCAAAAACAGTTTTAAATGCTTGGGATCGTTAGTGCTCCTTGCAAAACCTGTGCAATCTTAATTTGGCTTTGTTCTGAGTCTTCGTTAATTTTTGGTGAATTTTTTTCTCCCCCCCATTGCAATGCATTGAACTGTCGGTTATGGAGTATCAAGTAATTTTGTGGGGTACCCTTTTTATGAAACAAATGATGTAAGCCGGAAATTATATTTATTGGGATTTTAGAAGTTGAGTCTCCACATTACTATATTTTTCCGTGTATAAAATGACACTTTTCCCTTAAATTATTAGACCAAAAATTGAGGGTTGTTTTATATACGGCAGACAACTGAACTGTCGGTTATGGAGTATCAAGTAATTTTGTGGGGTACCCTTTTTATGAAACAAATGATGTAAGCCGGAAATTATATTTATTGGGATTTTAGAAGTTGAGTCTCCACATTACTATATTTTTCCGTGTATAAAATGACACTTTTCCCTTAAATTATTAGACCAAAAATTGAGGGTTGTTTTATATACGGCAGACAACTGTTTTCCCTGCCTTTTGCGAAGCCACAGGGCTTAGCAAAAAGGAAGGGAAGGCTGCCTTCAGGTAACGCGGCCGTGAAAGGGCTGCACAATTGCAGCCCTTTGATCCTGAAGCCCTTTCATGGCTGCTTCAGGATCAAAGGGCTGCGATCATGCAGCCCTTTCACAGCTGCATTACCCACTTCCTAAGCCCCGTGGTGCTTAGGAAGTGGATAAAGCAGCCATGAAAGGGCTTCAGGCTCAAAGGGCTGCAATTGTGCAGCCTTTACCTGAAGGGAGCCTTCCCTTCTTTTTTCCTAAGCCCCATAGCTTTGCAAAAGGCAAGGAATAGTGGCGGTCAAAGGGAGCTTTTCCCTTCCTTTTGCTAAGTTCCGTAGCTTAGCAAAAGGAAGGGAAAGGCAAGGATCAAATTTTCTAATTTGGTTTTAGAAAAGTGGGGGGTCATCTTATACATTGGGTTGTCTTATAAAGGGAAAAATATGGTATGTTAGTATTCTGCTTATGTTGTTTTTCAAAACTCTTTTCAAAAAATTCAGGTAATCCAAGTGGAAACCAGGCGCTGCTGCTGTTGAGAACCTGTGGTTTGTTATTGCCTGAGCAAACTCCAGCTGAAAGGACAGAACTTGCCCATACCATATGGACCAAACTGAAAGAACTGGGTATGTATGCTCTTTGGTTTAAGAAAAATACACATACAGTGGTGCCTCGACTTACAACCATAATCTGTTCCAGAAGATGGACGTAACTCGAAATGATTGTAAGTCGAAGCACCATTTCCCATTGAAATGCATTGGAACAGGATTAATCCATTCCAGAAGAAAAAAATACCCCCCCCAAAAAATATAAAAATAAAACACTGCAAGCCCCATAGGAACGCACTGGTGCTGCCAAAAAACCCCCGCACAAAACCGCAAAAATAAACAACGGAGCAAGCCCCATTGGAAGGCACTGGGGCTGCAACAAAACAAAACAAAAGAAAAAATAAACAGAGCAAGCCCCGAAGGCGCTGGGGCCTAAAAACAAAACAAAACCAAGAATAAACAACAGAGCAAGCCCCATCGGAATGTGCCGGGGCTATTAGAAACAACAACTCAAAACTCTTCCCCGAAGGCACTGGGGCTTTAAAAAATCCAAAAATAAATAATGGAGCAAGCCCCATCAGAAGGTGCTGGGGCTGCTAAATAAATAAATAAATAAATAAATCACCAAACACACAAACAAAAAAACACCAAAAAACAAAGCAACAACACAGCACAGAAATATAACCCCCCCAGCCCAAACCCACCCTGCAAAACCAACCCAGAACAGTTTTTTAAAAATCAGAAAGCAGCCCCTTACCCTACCAGGTAGTCTGAAGCCTTCTCTGATCACACTCACTCTAACTGTTGGGGTGAAAGAACTACAAAGAAGCAGCCTCTTCATTTACCAACGGCTAGCAGATTTGAATTCCCCATCTTTTTTCCCTGCGTTTTTCTGGTCTCAACTCAAAGCTCTGGCAACAAGTTGAAGCAAAATTTTGCAGCCAGAGCTGGTCGTAACGCGAAATGGTTGTAAGTTGGGACGTTTATAAGTCGAGGCACCACTGTATAGGTGTCTCTCTTTTTTTAGCATGTAGTGTGTTTGTCTATTGAAGTAAAATCAGAATTATGGTACCACTATGTTCTATGTCTTGCTGGCATTTGTTAGTTCTTGGCTAATATACAACACTTTGATGTCTGTGGTTTCAGATTTTGAAAGCTATACTGACATCTAGGGGTATTGATAGTAAAACCAAGCCTATTTTTGTTCACTTAAGTTGTTTAATTTGTTGTTTATTGCTACTGAGGGAACTTATTGGATATATATTTTTCCATTCCAAAATTTGTAGATCAATTTGGGTATAGCATAAATTAAAACACAGCCATCAGCATTCTGTTTTCTGCAACTCCTTTCATCGCTACCCATCATAGTCACTGTAAGAAATTGTTAGTGTTGCAGTTAAACAGCATCTAGAGCAGCAGTTCCCAACCTTTTCGAAACCACAGACTGGCTGAGCCTCTTAGGAAGGTGGGGTACCCCCCGTGCTCATGCACACGCTCTCTCGGGTGCATGCGCGGAGCGGTGGGGGAGCGTACACGCGTGCCAGCACCAGCATGAGCCTACCCCTTCGTGCATGTGCAGGAATGCCTGCACGCCGACACTCGGGCACATGCAGAAAATGCCTGCACGCCGGTGCTGGCATGCGCAAAGCAGCTGCAGCACGTACATGCGCAAACCCATCTTCTCAATAACTCAGTGGCTGGTATCCCTTCCATTTTCCCTGTTTATAAATGCAAACATAAAAGTGATTGCAGCAGAGTAGAGAGATCCGGTCTCTTCCCTGGTTAAATAGCTGTGCATGAAAGTGGTCACAGGAGTAGCCATGTGATCAGGCAGATGACTGGGCCTTTTTGTGTCATTGGAACTGTTTCTGTAATGTACTGGTCAGCAGGACCAGAGCTCTATGACAGAGCACATGCTTTGCATACAGAAGGTCTCAGGCCGATGCCCAGGAAAAGCTGGACAAATGATCACATGGAGGAGGTGGGTTCCACACCAAGCAGGCTGAAACATGGTTCATGCCTGTCTCTAAGTCTTACCTTCTCCTAAGTAAGCTTATTGCACATCTCCCAGATTTTCTTTTGCAGGGTTGAGTCTAAAGTGTTCAATTTACAGTTAATGGTTTGTACTTCCCAGCAGCATTGAATAAGTTATGATGCATTATCTGGAAATTGTATCACGATACAATGTACCATGTATGGTAGACTTTTAGTTGTGACGACTGCGTATTCCAGACTCCCTGTTTTCCACATATTGTTGTAATATTTTTTGTTTTATTTAGAGGCTGCCTTTTTCCCAATAAGGGACCCAAGTTGACTTACAGTATTAAAAGGAATAGAATTAAAAACATAAATTAAACATTAAAAACCAAAACAAACTATATGCTAATTAAAATACTATTGAATAATTAAAAGCAAGCTAACATTAAAAACTGTCTTAACTTTAAAATGGCATTCAGGTACTCAATCATGATTGTTAAAAACTTGCCTGAAAAGATGGTCTTCAGCTGTTGGTCGAAGGATAAAAGGGAGGGGGCCAGCCTGATCTCCCAAGGGAGAGCATTCTCTAACCTGGGAGCTGGTAATAACAGTGGTTAAACGGCTGTACTCCAGCCAAAACTGTGCTCACGACCTGGGGTTCAATCCCAGATAGCCGGCTCAGGGTTGACTCAGTCTTCTATCCTTCTGAGGTCGGTAAAATGAGTACCCAGCTTGCTGGGGGGGCACTGTGTAGCTTGCATAATTCACTTGTAAACCACCCATAGAGTGCTTGAAGCGCTATGGAGCGGTATATAAGCAGCACACTTTTTAATAATAATAATAATAATAATAATAATAATAATAATAATAATAATAATAATAATAATAATAATAATAATAATAATAATAATAAAGTGGTGCCTCGTACCACGACTACTT